GAGAGGAGGAGCGATTGCTTGTAGATCTCGACAGGAGAACCTCGTATTTTCTCTGAGCGGGTCAAGGGCCCTGTCCTGTTGAGAAACGGCTCAATCTCAGGACCGGCCGGGATGGCCAGAACTCATAAGCTTAGATACACACACACACACACACACACACACATGAATGAAATGACACTGACAATCACATATAACAGTATGATATAAAAAAAAAAAAAACATTTTAAATAGTTATATATTATTCCATGAATCAAAAAGATAAAAAAAAGAAACATTGCCATTCTTTCAAATTAATATAAGTAAAAAACCTCTCGCATGTATTTAGATCATCAATATTTTATATTGTTGTATTATTCAGTTCTGATTACAAAAATTCTGTTTTTTTATTTCTAGTATTTTTTGACAGTAATTTGTCCACTAATGTTGATTTAAAGAAATCACTGTATTAGATTTTTTTAAACTGTAGTACAATATTAAGGATTACAAGGTCATTTTAATGTCAGAAAGCAAAAATGGGAATATTCCTAAAAGTAGGCTTTATTTTATTTAATTTTTTTTTTTACTTTTATATTTTAACGTTTACAATTGTACATTTATTTTATTTTAAATTGTATGCAAATGTCAAATAGTCAAGCAGGCAAAATATATGTAATACATATTTTTACATTAGTGAGCACAATAAAGAAGAGGATAAATGTTTATTTTTTCAATAAAACATATATTTTTGGTTAACTGTTTTATTTAGTTTAGTTTTTATTTTCAAATTTTCAAATTGCTTTTATTTGGTCTTTTTTTCTTGTCTATTAATTAATTTATTTATTTCGTTCATTATTTATTATTATTTATATTGTTATTTTTTCTTCTCTTATTTCTTTCTTTCGTTCTTTCTTTCTTTCATTATTTATTTATTTTGCCAATTATTACTTTAATTAGTTATATCGTTTTTTCTGTATTTCTCTCATTGTTTTTTTCTATGTTGTTTCTTTCTTTATTTATTTCATTTTTTTTATTTTCTATTTGTCTTTTTTGGTACTTTTTAAAGTTCGTTATTCTTTCTTTCTTTTGTTTGTAATTTCTTCATTTTTTTATTTCTTTATTTAGTTCTTTCTTTCTTCCTTTATTTATTTATTTTGTTTAGTTATTTCTTTATATCTTTATTCTTTCTTTCGTTCTTTCTTCCTTTATTTATTTATTTTGTTTAGTTATTTCTTTATATCTTTATTCTTTCTTTCTTTCTTTATTTTGCTCATTATTTCTTTATTCTTTCTTTATTTTTCTCATTATTTCTTTATTCTTTCTTTCTTATTTGTTATTTCTTAATTTTTTCTTTTTAGTTCTTTCTTTGACTTTCTTTTTCTTTCATTCTTTTTTGTTTGTTATTTCTTTCTTTCTTTCTTTTGCTTATTTCTTTATTCTTTCTTTCTTCATTTTGTTTGTTTTTTCTTTTTTATTTCTATATTATTATTTTCTTATTTATTTATTTATTTAGTTTTTTCATTTTTTATTTCACTTGTTATTTCTTTATTCTTTCTTTCTTTATTTTGTTGGTTATTTCTTTTTTTATTTTTTTTATTATTTCCTTATTTATTTATTTATTCAGTTTTTTTGTTCTTTATTTTACTTGATATTTCTTTTTTTATTTGATCTTTCTTTCATTTGTTACCTTATTTTTTATTTTCTTATTTAGTTCTTTCCTTATTTAATTCTTTCTTTCTTTCTGTCTTTTATTCTTTCTGTAGTTTTTCTATATTTCTGTTGAAGTTGAATAATGGTTAAATGGTTGAGGATTTTTAAAGTGGAATCCTGTACCTTACTTTTTTATATAATAATTTGCAAAGCTCTAAATATATGAATAGATGGATTGACTGATAGATCTAAATTGCTATTTTCCTGAGAGTTTGAGTCATACTGTTTGGCCACTTGTGCCGGTATGCTGCAGATTTGTAGGATTCAATTATGGATGCACAAAAACATTCATCTCGGTTTTTTGAATGTTTGGACGTTTGTGAGGTGATAAACGATGGATTGATGTTGATTTTTGCGGTCTCTCTGTGTGTGTGTGTGTTATTGATTAGAGGGCGGTCTAAAGCTTTCGATCACTCTGACAGATCTTCCTCTTTCCTCATCCTCAGCTGGGCTGCTCTGATTAAAACCCAGAGAAGAATTATGAAAGACTAATGGTTCGGTTATCGTCATGTAATCTCCTCGTGATTAATACCCCGAACACCTGCAGACCTTGTCCTGGATTTACACTGCGGCAGCTTTTGTTTTCTTTTATCTCTTTGTTTGTCTGTTGGAGGAACACAATACGATGCTAACGCACTGTAGATTCTCACATACTGAGCCTATGGAAGGAAAAACGACCAGCTAGTTGAGCCTTATGTATTGTTTGGGTGGGAGAGATGAAGAATAATGTTCTGACAACTCAGATGCGAGTGTGTGTTGTGTGCGAGTGATCTCTTCTCTTGTTGTGACTGGCCTATAACAATACCCACTGCATGTCTTCATTATTCCAGTGTCAATCCAAGCACAAACTGGCACTGATTCGCTGAAGTTGTTAGCTTGTGTCACTGCTTTTGACAAAAAAAAAACAAACAAAAAAAAAACCTAACCAGGCACGATGCAGGGAATTAGGTAAATATACTTCTGCTCTTGATAAAATCTTGAGTGAAGAGATTAAGAACATTTGTCCACCGAAGCATTTTGTCTGAAGCAAGTTGTTTTTAGTATTAGTGCTGTATTTTATTTTGCAATACTTTATATTTTGGTTCAAAAGTTTGGCATCAGATTTAAAGACAAATTTAAAGTAGTATTTGTATTCACAGGAATAACTCATTTTAAATGCGTTCAAATTGAAAACATATTTTTGAAATGTCTTTATTTTTAAAAACATTATTTTAAATGAATGTTTTTGTTATTGTATTTTTACTCTTTTTGTTTTCCTCAGACTAACTGAGCAGTAAAACACATAAAAAAAACTTGCAGACTTCAAACTTTTAAGCCATAAGTTAAGTGTGTTTGTGTCACTAGGAATAAAAATCTAAAATAAAATCATAGAATTTTAAATAAAGGTGCTTCAGTCCCCTGTGGCAACTCCTGATAATTCAGGGACTAAGCCAAAGGTAAGTAAATAAATGTATTTTAAATTAAATAAACTTTAGGTCTTTTTAATTTTATAGGTGATACAGTATATCTATATGTCATTAATAATTAATTTAATTATAATGTATATGTATAGATATTACAATAGTGAATACAAATTTGAAGGGAAAAAGGTACAGTTTAAGTGAAAGTTACACACTATTATTAAATATATAAAAACTATTAAAGTTGCAGTAGGTGATCTTCAAAAATGCTAACCGTTGGCATAATAGCTTTGAAAACACAGGCCCTCCTCTGCCATCCAAAGCCACACCTCCTGAAATCACCCAGTGACATCACTTGCAGAAGAAGTGCACCAAGGAGGAGTTGGAGCTCAATCTTCCCCTTGCTGGAGCTCAGCTTTGCCCATGTGGCTCTGCAGTGAGTACCATTAGGGTAAATATGACAGCAGACAACCTGCTAGATCATGTTTTTAGCTAGTTAGAAAACTTCATAGTACTTTATGATACTACTATTCCAAACAAAAAAACTGTATTATATCTAGCACGTTTCAGTTGTGTAGCAAGCAAAACTTGTCATAATGTGCAATATTTCATGCATGCAAGAATCGCTGGTCTTATGTGTTCTGTCCTAAAGTAGCTATGCCTTGCAAGCCATATGCTAAGCCATACTTACATGCTTTTTCAGACTGAATATTTAAAGTAGCACGAAACACAGCATAGGGAGCGCATCACAGGTTGTCATAGTTCAGAAATGAAATGATGTGATGTAAATATAAAACCAACTTCAGCTTAGTAAAGCAGGTCAGACCGAATAAGCTATTTACTGATGAAAATTTCAGTGGCTGATGAAGATTTCAGTGCATATAACCCATTCGTAACAACACAATCTACAACAGCTTCGCGTGACTAAAATGCTTTTAAAACAGAACATTACCTGTCTAAAAAAGATACTTCAGCCATGGTGTCGTCCTTCCTCCAGTGTACAAAATTAACTCCAATATTGATTCAAGATTTTTACAAATTTGGATTCAGCATTTGATTTTACCTCTTACTCTCTCTCTCTCTCTCTCTCTCTCTCTCTCTCTCTCTCTCTCTCTCTCTCTCTCTCTCTCGTACATGTCTGCGTGTAAATGGCAGATCTGTGTGAAGAGGGGTGCGCTGATGTGAATTATCAACAACTACATTTGTTGACGGACCGTTTTAGCTATTTATCAGAATTGTGGGAATTATCAGCCCATGAAATTTTAATTGGATAAATATTTTTTTGTCTTATAGCTCACCCAGAATATAAACATACTTATAAATACATTTAGATAATTTACTTTAATCATTACTATTGAAATAAGAAGAGACTTTCAACCAGCACAACAAAAACTGTGAAGACAATCACCTACTGCACCTTTAAAGATTCACAAATCATTAATAAGAAAATGACCATCATATTTATAGTTGAACTTTGTAGGCTTTCATAATAATCAGTTTATAGATATAATAATCCTCAAAGTTGATGAGATGGTGTGATTTTAAACCAATCAGAGAGCAAGATGAGATTTGCTTACGTATTGTGGCGTACCTGGTTAGGACACATCCAACACTAATTGAGCAGCCTCATCCAGCCTTTTCTTTTCTTTTAGGCTGGTTTTAGCCATTCATAACACTTGGCCCATGCTAACACTTTTAGCGAATCCTTCCTCCAGTTTCCAGCCAGCCAAGGAGATGCACTCAACTTCCATCTCCTTTGGATGCACTGGACCACCAAAGCCAATTGGCTCCCTCCTCTTTCCTCCCTCCTGCTGTGCCTTAACAGCCCCTTCCCTCATCACGTGTACATGTGTGAGAGTGTGTGTGTCTATGCGTGTGAGATTTGATTTCCTGTCCCGTTCTTCTCACCGATAGAGAGCGTTGAGTCGAGCGAGCCGGCGGACCTGTTGGATAGACAGAGGTGCCTGGTGGCGTTGGCCTCTCTGCGACATGCCAAATGGTTCCAGGTTGGCGCTCACTTCTTCTCATTGTTATTGTAGCCTTATGACCCAAAACTACATGCCATTTTTTCCCCTTTGATTTCCTTGCAGCTTGACACATCATCACAAACGTTTAAGTATCGTAAGGCTACAAAAGCAATTTATTTATTTTTTTTTGCCTGTGTTTTTGTTTGTCCATAACCCGCTTGTCATCATCATGAAGGATTTGTCTAGTGCTTTTCCTGCACCATATCTTCCCTTCTCCCACCCCATGACATAAGCCCTGTCCTCCTCCATGATCATCCGCACAACACGGACCAGAACCGAACCACATCACTCACACAGACCTCAACGTACACACACAAGCACATATAGTCAAGGTGTAGAGACGTACAGTAGGGGGTGAAAGGTTGACGTTGATGCTGTTGCTGTCTGTTGTTTAATTGGTGATTCCTTCTGGTTTCCTCAGGCTAGAGTTAATGGCCTAAAGTCATGCGTGATCGTCTTGCGGATACTGAGGCACATGTGCAATAGAGTCCCGGCGTGGGAGCCTCTTAAAGGATGGGTGAGTACTTGAGTTTGTCACTGCAGGTAGTATAGTTACAAAATGGTAAAATTGATGAACCGTTTGTAATTTGGTGAGTAAATTATTAAAGGTCCCATGAAGTGCTTTAAAATATGCATCTTTATTCAACATTTGACGTAATCTCAACTGAAACACGAAGAGAGGGTTGGGCATAGTGTAACCCAGGCGTGTCCAAACTACGGCCCGCGGGCCATCTGCGGCCCGCAATAAGTTTTGTGGCGGCCCGCGAGGCTTTTTATAAATAGGAACCGCTATACAAAAAGGAACGTAATTCAATAAATATTATTACATATAAATGCTATTACATGCATTCAATTAAGCAGCTTTTTTATATTCTTGTTATGATCTATCTATCTATCTATCTATCTATCTATCTATCTATCTATCTATCTATCTATCTATCTATCTATCTATCTATCTATCTATCTATCTATCTGTCTGTCTGTCTGTCTGTCTGTCTGTCTGTCTGTCTGTCTGTCTGTCTGTCTGTCTGTCTGTCTGTCTGTCTGTCTGTCTGTCTGTCTATCTATCTACACTCAGTTGAAGTCTGAATTATTAGCCCCTCTTTGATTTATTTATTGTTTTTTAAATATTTCCCAAATGATGTTTAACAGAGCAAGGACATTTTTACAGTATGTCTGATAATATTTTTTCTTTTGGAGAAAGACTTTTGTTTTATTTCGGCTAGAATAAAAAGCGGTTTAAATTTTTTTATGAACCATTTTAAGGTCAAAATTATTAGCCCCTTAAGTCTTCAGAAAAAAACATTGTTATAAAATAACTTGCCTAATTACCTTAACTTGACTAGTTAACTTGATTAACCTAGTTAAGCCTTTAAATGTCACTTTAAGCTGTATAGAAGTGTCTTAAAAATATCTAGTCAAATATTATTTACTGTCATCATGGCAAAGATAAAATAAATCAGTTATTAGAAATGAGTTACTAAAACTATTATGTTTAGAAATGTGTGGAAAAAAATCTTCTCTCCGTTAAATAGAAATTGGTGAAAAAATAAACGGGGGCTAATAATTTAGGGAGGCTAACAATTCTGACTTCAACTGTATATATATATATTTATATATATATATATATACACACGTGTCTGTGTGATGTATGTAAAATTTGGCCCGCGACAACGTTTGTTTTTTTGCATCTGGCCCTCGACCCAAAAAGTTTGGACACCCCTGGTGTAACCCCTCCCATTTTAAAAAAACAGCCAATAGCATTTTGATTTTATTACCGCTCTGCCAATGAGAGTGGTTGAGCTCAACTGCAGCAAATTAGAAGCCTCTTGAAGGAGGTGGGGCATGTCTGGTACTACCCAGCAGGCACACAACATCATAAGACGTTAATATTAGATTAGATTTTGACCATGACGTCAGGTGACAATAATTAAATGTCTAACTAGTATTTAAGGACAACTTTATTTTGACGTCCAATAACGACGTCAAATTACGTTGATATTTGGTTAATATTAGATTGTGTTGGAAAGTGACCAAAATCCAACGTCTGATAGATGTCATAGTGGTAATGTCCACACAATGTCAAATGTCTGTCAATGTCTGTAACATGATTAGACATTGATATTTGGTTGATTATTGGTTGTATATTGATGTCCGCCTGACGTTGGGTTCTGACATCAGCCCGATTTTCATTTCCAAACAAAATCCAGAAATTATTATATTCAATTTATACCAATGTTTTAGCTTTAGAAGAGTTAAATATATAAATATATTTGGTGAAATAGCTAGATATTTATTATTCTGCCCATTTGTCAAACCATTATGAAATGAAACAAAAATTATACTAAATTAGAATACAATTTTAATTATAATAAAACATTTTTTCTTAAACCTGTATTTAACAAATCCAGAGGAAATTGTCAATTGGTCTCTTATTTTCTTTTTCTATATTTGTAAGTAGGGATTGAATGAAGATAGAGCAGTAAATTAGTGAAAGCCACCATTAAAATATAGTTAATTTACTTGTAATTCATGAAATGCAAGTCAATGGCTTACTCTTGACAAAAGTTCTGAATTTGTAAAAGCTGCAAAAATAGTTTTTTAGCTGCTATTAATCCAGTCTTCAGTGTCACAAGATCATCCGAGGCTTACATATTAGAATTAAGCTAAATGGCTTTACAATAACTTAATCTCTCTTTTCTGTGGCCCATTTTTGAAGAATTAATAGTTTTTCATGTAATGAATTAGTCTTTGACAGATGACTTGCTCTTTTGTCCACAGCCTTTGGAGTTAATATGCGAAAAGGCCATTGCCACATGTAACAGACCTCTGGGTGCAGGAGAGGCTCTGCGTCGGGTCATGGAGTGTCTGGCCTCTGGGATACTGCTTCCAGGTACGAAAACCTCCTGAACCTCAAAGTATTATTTTCAGTACTCAATCTGATAACCCCACTATCAGTAAAATAAAGTTCTGGAGATAAGTTTCAGATGCTTCAGTCATAAGTGCGATTGCGCTAGTTTCCTTTGTAGGGTGTTTGCACAACTCTTAGGCTGTCTAAAATCGCCTACTAATGAGTAGGTACTACATTTAAATTTTAATGTACTACTTGACTGTTAAAAAAAAAAGTACATTCTATTTAATATGAATGTGAGTAGTATGAATGGAACTCAGATGTACTACATTTGCGTTTTTTTCATTATCAACTGACCTACCCATGTCAGTTGCATTGCTTCACTTTCATATATTAATTCTCTCATGTGGCATCATGTTATAGCGTAGCATCCATTGGATTTGAACTTCAGAATCTTGCTGAAAATAGTAGGTCAATCCAGAAATGTCTCTCATTCCATGAATTTGGACGTACTACTCGACTCGCATGCTGTTTTTAGAGTACTACATAGTATGGAAGTATGTAGTTTTTAAATGCCCAAAAATTAAACTTGAAGTGTCATTCAAAAATCTTACTTTATATTCCATAATACTGTTGTGCTTAAAAATAACAGGGTTGTGCTTATTCTCTTAATGAGTTATGGCTGTGTTTTGAGTATAATGTGCATTAAACTAATCTGGTTCAGTCTCATCTTCCATTCCCTTTAAGAGTCAGTTACATTGCGCCATGGTGCAGTTGCTATTTACATGGAGGACCTTTGTAATTAAAACTGACTCAGCGAGTTAAACAAACCATCTGTGCAATGATAAAGAATGAGCCTTCTCCATTTGGCCTCTTTACTTTCTCTTTACTTTTACTTCTTTACATTTGTTGAGTAAGGAAATGGTGGAAAGTTACTCGTAACTTACTTATTTTAATCACAAAAGTGGAGTATTGGTGTCCATGTAAATGTACTGTAGTGAAAGTGACAGATGAAGTCGCAAGCAATCAAAGACAGCCCTATTCTCTGCCTTTAAGCTTCTACCATGAGCCCTCACATTTCATAAGTTTGACATGTTTCCTCCTACACGCTCTTTTTGTAAAGCGTCTGCTTCATGTTGCTGTGTCAGAATCCTTGCTTGTAAAATTTAGAAAGCTTAATTTTAGCAAATTTGATGAACGTGATCGTGCTTGTTGATGAAACTGAAGGGATCCCTCACTCACTGGGTCCGCTGTACTGCTTGTTGTCAGTGTATGTGTGTGTGTGTGTGTGTGTGTGTGTGTGTGTGTGTGTGTGTGTGTGTGTGTGTGTGTGTGTGTGTGCGTGCGTGCGTGTGTATGTGTATGTGTATGTGTGTGTGTGTGTGTGTGTGTGTGTGTGTGTGTGTGTCCGCGTGCGTGTGTGTAGTCCACTTAGAATCCAACATGGAAATCATTTTTGTTTGTTATTGGCATTGATTGTTTCGAAATTCAATTGGCACTTAAATGCCTGTGTTTTTATTCAACCCAAGCTCGTTCTGAAAACATAGCCCCACGGACGTTTCTGGAGACCGCGATTTATGTGGCCGGAGGTACGTATGGCTGCAATTCGTTTTTTCAAGCAAACGCTACGGGCCGGTGTGACGCCACTCATCTTCGCGCTCGCCGGCTGAAGGCTCACCTCCTCCGTGTGGAAGGCTTTCCCGCCACAACTAGTTGTCCGGTTAGCTCATCGTGTTACGTCGGCGGAGCGGAGGCCCTGAGGAGGAGGAGCCGGCCATGTGTGACGGCCGGGTTAGACGGCCGGTTTCCAGTCCAGGGAAGAGCGGTTCCAGAAATCAGGAAAGACACAAAACAGAATCCAAAAAATAGAGTTCGTAACGGGGCGAGAATGCGGTGAAATCCGAAAACGCGGTCAAAATCTTACGAGGGCTTTTCTTTTTCTGGACAGCTTTTGTAAATCGTTGCTTGGGTTTAGGGAAGAAGGAGGAGGAGGAGGGTGGCTGGGTCGGCCGATTTGCCGGCCGCCCAGTCAATCAGTCAGTCAGTCGGACAGACGGTCGCTCGACAGCGGTCTCCGGTGGCTTTTTACGTGAGAACAGCGCATAAAAAGCCAAAACAAAAACTGCACAAATATTTACCTCCCGGGACGTATTTCGCGGTCTCTAGAAACATCCGCGGGGCTACGTTTCCAGAACGAGCCTGGGTTGTTTTCATTTCTGTAATAAATATGGTGTTTTGTGATTAATCATGATTAATTCCGTTTCATGATAAATTACAAAAAGGTGTGATTAATTACGTTAATTTTTTATCATTTGGCAGCCCTAATTAAACCAAATATAAATATGCATATAATAAATAATGCTGTTATAAATAACAATAACATTATACTGTTATATAACAGATTGTCATGGATAAACTAAAAAAGCCCCCTGACATGATGAAGGCATGGAGGTAGTGATGTTTATATTTATGTAGTAAATAATAATTTTTGTAACATTTTTTGTGCTGTCAATCGATTAAAAAAAATTAACTAATTAATCACACCTTTTTTTTTTTAAATTAGTCGCGTTTAATCACATTTAAAATTCTGAAAGTTGTAATTTTGGCTATTCAAATGTAAAATTAATGTAAATGCAAGACAAAAACTATTTAAATTCAAAATATAATTGTTTATTAGAATTAAAATTCTAAATATAATTGTTTATTAGAATTTTTGTTCAACTTGTAACACAGATTTCTGGGTAAACAACATACCCACAATAAACCATCAAGATCCTGGCTTGACAGCCATATTTATTAAAGAAATTAAAACACAGGCATGTTAATGACATTTAAATTTCAAAACAATCAATGCCAATAAAGAAAACATTGATTTCCATGTTGGATTCTAAGTGGACTGCAAAAAAATGGCAAAATACAGCATTTGCAGATATGGAAAATGGAAAATTATAATAATAAACTATAGAATACAAACTGTTCATTATAAACATTAACTCATTATAAAGTTTTATTGCTGTGAGTTGAGAACATTAGTTATAGAGTAGAAACAATTTTGCTTAATCCTCCTTTACATTCATCCAATTGCTAAGACTAGGAGTATCCCGCAAGTGCACAGAGACTCCCAAATGCCCGCAAATGAATGATAATTTCTCGCAAACCGGTCGTTAAATACATTGCACACCCCTCTCCCCCACATCCCTCCTAGCTCTTCAGGTAGCCTATGTGGCGCGCAACTCACCCCCACCGTCCTTTAGGTACATCCCCCGCGCACACGCCCCTACTCAGATACGTCGCTCACTCCACCCCTAACACCCCTCAACGGGCCTGACACAGACACACACACACAGACACACACACAACGCGCTGCAGACGTTTTGGCCCCAACGGCCTTCCATACTGCAACGACTCCCCTCAGATTCAACACGCATGATCACGTTTATCAAATTTGCTTAAACTAAGCGTCCTAAAGTATTACTGTATTTCACAAGGATTCTGACACAACAACGCGAAGCATTCGCTTTCGTTGCGTTTAATGAGGAAACACGCTAAACATGGAGGGCTCATGCTGAAAGGCAGAGTAATGCCCTGTCTTTGACAGCACGCGACTTCACCTGAGACTTTTTGAGTACATTCTCATAGGACACCAATACTCCGATTTTAATATGATTAAGATTATACTCTTATTAAAATTCTACCTTGTAGCCTAAGCAGTGATTTTATTACCTTAAAGGAACACCGAGTCATAAAATGCGGAGGATTTTCTTTCTGTTCGCCATGCGGTATCAACTTACAACAGAAGTCGAAAGTTAAAAATGAAACACCCGAAATTGCATGAAACTTTGGAGAGCCTGGTGATGCGACTAATTGTTTTATACTGAAACTTGCCTTCAAAAAAAGTGCTTCCTTGGTCTTATCCACATTTATTGCATGTTAAACGCACTTCCACCACAACAGGAAGTAACTAAAAACCTACAACTGAGTTAATTGCGTTAATTTTTTTAACGCGTTAGTTATTTAAAATTAATCACATGCGTTAACGCACTAATTTTGACAGCGCTAAACATTTGAATGCCTTTTTTTTTCATATGTAAAGATATGTGTGTATTCTGTACATCCTGTGTTTATTAAGCGTGTAGACTGATTAGGCACATAACTAGCTTCCTCTGTGCTTGACTTTAGACCAGCTTTTACTTTGTTAATGGCATGGTCTATTTCAGCTTCTCAAAATAGCAATCCACCAACAATGCGCCTTAACACATCTCTTTTATAGACCGGGACACCCATGAGTCCACAAAGTGGCACAAAGGAATTTGCTATTTTAACAACATGGCGCAAAACGTGAAAATTAGGGTTGCACTGGTTTGAAAATAGCAAGAAATTGCACAAAACAAGTCTTGCACCTTATTGCGCCGGGTGTTTGATAGGGCCCTTGGTCTTAAGTATGTCAGAACTGTAGCGTTAACACTTTTGAATACTAAAATGTAGAAATATATCCTTTTTATTTATTGAAGTATTCACTCTAGATCATAGAATCCCTAATCATTTAAACATACAGTAAATCCTCTATGTAATGAATATGCAAGATAAATGTGAATATGTCCAGCACAGTGTGATGACAGCAGTGGTGTCACTATCAGATCTGGCTTTCATTCGCAAAGCTCTAGTTCCTGTCTGTGGCCCAGAGGAATAATGGAGCCTCATTTATCTAGTCTTGACATAACTAGTCCATCGCTCACCACACTTATACTCTTTTCTCAGTTATTCATTAATAATGAGATGCAGACATTAATATAGAATCAGCTCGCATAGGAAATAAGCCCTTCCCACAATGATATATATATACACTTAGTTGAGCATAAAATATATATATTTGTATTGTACCTGCAGGGCATAGTTTAAGCGATGAAAGGATCGCTTTAGAGTTTAATTAACACCTCACCTGCAGTGATGGAGCGTTACTCGCTAAAGACTGAAACTTGTGGCTTTCTCGGTTGGATAAATCATATGTTTTATTAAATGTATTCCTCAGGTGGACCAGGATTGCATGATCCCTGTGAGAAGGAGCCAACGAACACCCTGTCGGCCATGACGGATGAGGAGGCAGAGGCTATTACATCCAATGCACAGGTAAACCAGTGTGTCGAGAAATGTGTGAGATGCAGGTGTCAATGAGAAAAGGAGATGTGTGTGTGTGTGTTTGGTGCTCTCAGAGGTGCTTATCTCATCTATGCTGTGTAGATTGCTGTCATGTCTCAGACACACACACACACACACACACACACACACACACACACACACACACACACACACATAAACTCAGCCTAATATGTAAGGTAGACGATATTCTTGTTGGCAGTGAGTCATGTCACAACACTAAATGAATACAAATTGACTGTGCGGTGGACTGAAACTCATTCATTCATCTTCCTTTGGCTTAGTCCCTTATTTATTAGGGGTTGCCACAGCGGAATGAACTGCTGACTATTCCGGCATATGCTTTATGCAGTGGATGGCCGCAACCCAAAACTGGGTGGACTGAAACTGCATCTATTTTTTTTTTTCTTTATGAACAACTGTTGTTGCCAAAAAGGTTCAAAGTGCTGTATATAGAAAATATGCAGTTGAGCTAAAGACAAATATAGAGCAAAATTTGAAAAATCTTAATATCATTTGTTTTGATTTTCTATTAAAATGCACAGTATGTTTTTTGAGTAAATGTTCATTTGCATTTTATTTTATAAATTACAGTACTAATAAAGTGACTTTTCAAACAAGATTATTATAATTTATATCATATTTATAAAATTTTAGTATGTATTTGCAGAAAATGAGAAAAAAGAGAACAAAATTTAGATTCTTGCTACATGTTAAAATTGTGTTGTTATTTTCTACTGTCATTTTCTGCAAATAAGCGCTTGCATAATGCTTTTTTGATTGTATAAATCAAATACACGCACACATATAGTGGTCCTAATCGCACAAGATATCATAATGAGGGGTGTCACGGTGACGCAGTGGGTAACATGATCGCATTACAGCAAGAAGTTGGCATTTCTATGTGGATTTTGCATGTGCTCCCTGTGTTCGCACTGGATTCCTCCGTGTGCTCCGGTTTCCCCCACAGTCCAAAATTCATGTGGTATAGGTGAATTGGCTAAGCTAAATTGTCCGTAGTATATGTGAATGAATGCAAGAGTGTATGGGTGTTTCCCAGTCTTGGCTTGTGGCTGGAAGGGCATTCACTGTGTATAACCTTTGCTGCATAAGTTGGCGACTTTTCCACTGTAGCAACCCCTGATGAATAAAGAGACTAAGCTTCTGAATGACTATTTAAATTTCAATTGTGTTTCGTCTGGTGCAAACAACCAAATTGCTTATTTTTGCCAGGGGCACCGCTAGGTGGGGGGAAGCTTGGACGTTTCTAAGGATCTATTCAATTTGGGGACCCCAGAGATAATATTAGGGGCCCTTGCAACACCCCTCAACCCTGTTTCTTAAATATCTGCAAACATATTATTGTATTTTTATACTGTAGAAGAGTCAAAAACTTGCATACTGCACCATTCAAGACAGCAAAAAGATATACAGGTTATCTAAAAGAGTCAGTATTACTTAAATGCATTCATGCATAATGTTGTAATATCTCTTTATCATTGCAGTCATGTTTACCTTAATTACAGTTTCCAACATCCCTTCCGTCAGATTGTTATTCAATTCAACAACTTGAAAGAGAATTATTGTTTACACTTATCACATTAATACATGAAGATCAGTTTAACAATATGCATATGAAATATGTATCTTCAGATACTTTTGCCACACTCATTTTATATATTAATAAAAGTGCCAGCAGGGTTTCCTCCGGGTGCTCCGGTTTCCTGCACATTCCAAAGAAATGCTATATAGGTGTATTGAATAAACAAAATTAACCATAGTGTAGAGTGTGTGTTTGTGTGTGTGTGTGTATGAATGGGTGTGTTTGGGTGTTTCCCAGTACTGGGTTGCGTCTAAAAGGGCATCCAATGCTTAAAAAACATGCTGAAATAGTTTGTGGTTCATTCCACTGTGGCGGCCTCTGAAATAGAGACTAAGCCGAAGGAAAATGAATAAATGAATAATGATTACAGTTTTTAAGGCCATACAGTCTCTCTGACAGATTGATCAACAGATAGATAGATATATAGAAATCTTTAACAACACCCTCTAAAAAACATCAGCACAGTCAAATTGTTTATTTTTTATATCACCAGCATAATCTTATTCAAAGCATTTCTATTATTCCATGTATCATCCAACCCTTACACACACACACACACACATTTCAGCAGAGCACCTTGATGATTGGCTCTCTAATGAGTGTGGGAAAATGATACGGCATCAGCCCGTGAATCTTTACTCCTGCCTAGAGGATTGTGTGTGTGTGTGTGTGTGTGTGTGTGTGTGTGTGTGTGTGTGTCTGTGTGTGTCTGTGTGTGTCTGTGTGTGTGTGTGTGTGTGTGTGTGTGTGTGTGTGTGTGTGTGTGTGTGTGTGTGTGTGTGTGTGTGTGTGTGTGTGTGTGTGTGTGCGTGTGTGCATGGTTGCATGTGTGCGCTGCATCTCTGAGCTCTTTTCCTTTGAACCCTTGTGCAGTCGAGATCAGAATCACAATGTGCCTAATTGTTTTGCAGCAGATCGAAGAGGTTCAGTCTCTCACACACACACTTATACACACAACTAAATCTACACACAGCACTAAAGCTCAGAGCTTTATTGCTTAACACATTCATCCTATTTTATTATTTCCTTGTTAAAAAAGAGAAAAAAAACATAAAAATTGAAGCGTAGTAAGTTTTGGGGAAAATAATAGTTCATTATGTATGCTTTTGCTTGCCTCATCTCCTACTTTCCTTAAATTTTTTGGGGGTGGGGGGGTGTTGGTTTGCTGATGTAAATGAGGATTTGTTTATACTGCAGTTTGCTGTATTCATAAATGAGATGCAATGCGGTGATACTGTATGGCTTACCTACAGAGATACTGCATTCAGGAGAGAGTTTCTGTCATTAAACCGTGTTTATACCTGTAATTTACTCTGTGGTGGAGATTTCATGAGTTCAAGATGATTTGCGTCAATTTATAGGCAGGGAAGTTATATTTATCTTCGTTAAAATGTCATTATTGCTTATTAACCTAAAATTACTTTGCTAGCAGCAGCAAATAGTAGAGCTTGGACTTAAACTAAATGTTTACTGATTAGCATCTGTTTTAATCTTAGTGCTAAATGTGTAAATGATTGTAAAATATTTTATATATTTTACATTTTATGACATTTTTAATTATTTTTTATTAAATAAAATTTATTTTAAATTAAAAATATTTTATTTTATATTAATTTTTTTCTAAATATTTAGAACGATTGGAGGACCTACACTCTAAAATGCAACACTTATTTTATTATCATTAAAAAAAGAAAAGGTTTACTTCAAAAACAAAACCCCAAATGTGAGCTTTAGTGTACATAAAAAATGATGTAATTATTATTTTCGCAAAATAAATGATATAATAAATTAGTAAAATATATTATTTATTTAAAAAATAATAAAAATAACAATAAAATTATCAGATGAATTACAAACATAACCACCTCTTACATTGCTATTCCAACAAGGCCTATAGACATGTCTTTAATAAATGTTTATGTATGGGAACGTGTACCAAGATTTTTCCTTTTGTAAGTATATCAGTGATGTAGATATTCTGATTGCTGTAATTAAAAGGGTTTCTCATAAGGGGCTCACAGATATTTTTCATTTTTCATTTTATTGCACCCAAACTCTATGGTGCCTCTCCTAATAGGCTGCAACTAAACCAAACAGCTTTGTCAATATCTGTTGGGATGAGTTAATGTGAGTTAGTTGTAGCATGAATTATTTGTGCGGCAGTACCCCATAATTCTTCTGAACGGGGTGATTCAGTGCCTGGAAGTCCTCGTCTACAGGCGGTCTCTCGGCTCAAGCAGAGAGTTATTGCTTTATTATTAAAAAAAAAAAAAGATTTGCAAGCGTGTGTGTGTGTGTGTGTGTGTGTTTCTTCAGGGCACTTTTTAAGATTTTTTTTTTTTAGGGGCCGATCCTTTTGGTCTATGCTTTGATAATTTGATACATTTTTGTGTGTGTTTTTTTTGTTTGTTTGTTTCCAGCATGCTTTGCGGCTCATGGCTTTTGGACAGATCTATAAGGTCTTGGATATGGACCCTCTTCCCTCAAGTAAACCTTCACAGAAATACCCCTGGTCAGATAAGGAAGGTGAGCAGACATAACTAAAATGTGTTTTATATTGTTTTCTATGTAATTGTGCAAAGCATCAGCATTTTTACTGGTATTTAAAATTTACTGGTATTTTGTTAATGATGAATGGTATTCTACTAAAACTTAGTCTGGTATTTTCACAGTGATTTCCCAGGTTTAATGTGTGGAAGGTGTCTGTTGTCTAGTCTAAATTATTATTAAGTAATTTGTTGGTTAAAAATTGTGAAAATTATAGAGCTCTAAAGGCATAGTTTACCTAAAAATTAAATGTACTTACTATCTACTCTAGCTGGGATTCTCCATGTATTTTAAAATTCTATCCCGCTATCATCCCGTTTATTTTATTTAGTATTTCCCGTTTTTCCTCTATATATTTGTAATCTTTCAATAAAAAGTCAAAGTAGCATCAAAGCACCGATCTCAAAAGAGATATAATTGTGAGAATTGTTCAAGAGAATTATGCTTTTGATTTGTTTTATTCAAATTAATATTCACTTAATTTCCATTAAAGCTATGCGTTGACTGTCACCCTTCCTATACACCATGTGAATTAATAACATTGCTGACTGACCGACGCGCTCTGTTTTAAAGATTTAAGAAACCCTTGAGTACTTTTTAAAAATATTTTAACAGATTTGTGTGTGTTGAGCATCAGTTAAGACAATGTTAGCATCTGTCAGCTTTAATTGTGGGGAAAACTGGATAATTTTGAGCGTTTGATAGCTAATTACATCTTCTGGATTTAAAATTATCTTTGGGGCGGGATTAAAATCGGTGACAGCGCAAAACTGCAAGTGGAGTGATGATGCGGTGGTTTCTCATTATTATTCAAAGCGGAGTTTTCTTATCCTATGATAAGAGCCTGTTTCTTAATTATTCATGACTGCATGGGCTTTCCAAAGGTAAGACAGACCTGCCAGTGCCAAGCTGTGAGGCCCCCTATGTTGATGACGGGATGAAACTGCGTCCACTGACCCACCGCACATAGTATTTAGCCGTTCATGAAGGGTCGTATGTGTTTGTTTCCATGATCTATGGGGGTTGTTGCATGTTTTTCCCCGCGATGCTGTCAGGGCCGATACAGCAAAGCTGTATGTGTGCAGCAAGCATTTTTGCTGGGAGAGCAGTATGAGAATTGCAGAATGGCGGACTTTGTCTTTTATCAGTTGAGTTTGTTTACATTTAGACACATCGCCATGCTGCTATGTTCGCCCAAATCCTTCAAATTACCAACAGGGCTAATGGTTGAAATAGACAGGGCAAGAGACCTGAGATGCTTTTTCTTAATTCTGAGGTAGACTTGAAACAAAAGTGGGGGGTTTCATGGCCCTTTAAGACACAGTTCCCGGATTAGCTTCGGTATACAGGCGATTTGAAGTGGAACGAAAGTGTAAACCTTTGGATTTGGGTGGGTTTTTAAACAGACAAATACACTTAATAATATGTAAACATGTCCGTCCTGGCGTGTTTTATTTTCAACACAAATGATTTTGTCTTAAATGAGCAGAAACAGTTATGATAATAATTAAATACTTTCATTATAGATCTGTGAATTCTTAAAGTGACATCTCTGTTATCGAACAAAACAGTGGAACAAAATGAGAGTTACGCTGCTCTTCGCTAAATAATTATAGTAACTTTATTTAACACAGTGATTAAAAGTGAACAAGATTTTATGACTTGATTTGATTTCTGTATTAATTTAAATAAGCTAAACCTTTTTTATTATCAATTTTCTAACACTTGTTATGTACATAATTCTATCATATAAAGCTAATTTCCTCCCCATAATTGTGATGGTTTCAACTAGGCTTAGACAGTATACCATGATATATCTCAAGCAAAATGTCAGCACCAACTCGTGTAACTTTTGTGTATACCATGATATATCTCAAGCAAAATGTCAGCACCAACTCGTGTAACTTTTGTGTTTTTAACAAAATCAGGCCAAAACAATGTTTGATTGGAGTGCTATTACATTTTATAAACACATTTGATCTACCATTGGTGTGTGGAGTTTATAAAATTGGTCAGTGTGGCTCTGAGGCTCCACCTTCCTCTCTGGTTAAGCAAAATGTATTTAATTTAGTTATTTTAATGCAAGTAAATACACGAACACTTAAGAGCTGTTGTAAGAGCTATTAAGTGTAAATCTGATAGTAGGCACTGGTTAGTTGTTTATGTTTACTACTATAAACTGCTTACTTTTAAATAATTGTATGTTTATGTACTGCTGTAAGTGCTATTGAATAAACAGCACTGGAGTGCCGACTTGCAGAGTAGTTCATTGCTTGTGTGTTATCATTAGCAAATTAACTCTCCTGTTGTAACAGGTCTAGGGCTGAAGAGACCTTATGAAGATGGTCTGATGGATGACAAAGACCTCATCAAAAAGATGAAACGCAACCTGAGAAAAGGTAAGTCTGAATAATGATAGACTGATATAAAGGTCAGATTAATGATTTGGGATCTGCCATTTTGTGTGGTTAGGTTAAATAATTGTGTATTTGAATCCAAATAATATGGAAAAATTATGTGTGTCTTATTTGTTATCATTACATTGTTTTGTTAAGGTAACATTATTGTTGTTGTTTTTTAAGTGTCAGTCAGTTTAAATAGATTGTTCACCCAACAATTAACAATTACTCACGATCAAGTGGTTCCAAACCTTTGAATTTCTTTTTTTATTGTTGAACACAAAATAAGGTATAAAATAAGGTATAAATTAAAATTTTTGAATAATTTTCAAAAATGTTAGAGACCTGGAACTGTTGTCTTCCATAGTAGGAAAAACAAATCACTACAGGTTTTCAGCATTTTCCAAAATATCATCTTTTGCATTCAAAAAAACAAAGAAAATCAAATAGGTTCGTGACAAAAGGTGAGTAAACAATCACAATGTTTTCAGTTTTGGGTAAACTTTTTCTTTAAAAATGCATTTATGATGACAATCATCTTTTGTAAGCTGTTTGGACAAAACTATGTGCAGGTATAGTGTGTATAAACATAATAAGTGTCTTTTTTTTATTTCCTGATGTTAAAATAGGATCCAAATCCCTCCCATTTTGAGGCTCGCCTCAATGTAACGTAGGAGTGCGGTTTCTCTGCCCATCGAATTGATTGACAGCAGAGTATTAACATGTCTCCATAGTAACGCGTATAATCATATCAACAAGACAGGACGTGCGCAAAGCAACCTGGATTAAAAGATTTGTTCAGCTTACTGTGATCATCAGTCATCATCAAATGTGATCAAGAATGAGTTTTACAAGTTTGAAATGTTTTTAAAACAGAGCAAGTTTGTAATTAATTACAGTGATTTTACCGTCTTTACTTTATCACCACAGCCGCATGTCAGTACAATTATAAAAGAAGATGGTTAAATCCTTTGTGGACATCAAATCAGGTTTATTTTGTACATTAACATTACAGATATCCATACAGCAGTGGATGCTGTATCCTGTGTAATGTGTATCCTGTCACATTTGCTGTGCAAAAACAGTGCAAAGTGAAACGAGCGCTCTGTGTGCATGTGAACTTTGTAATGACATTGTGTGTGACTCATCATTGCAGAAAGGCTTGAATTAACCCCACAACAAAAACATCAAATAATCCTTCTTACTGTAGTATTTCTCACAAACATTATGTGAGATCTGCTTCCTTTATATCTGTTACTGTGATGTTTATGTGAAGGAGATTGAGGCACACTCTGACAGATGCAGAGGATGGTTGGCGGGGAGAACTAGCATTAAAGGCACAGGCCACAAAAACAGCTACATAGTGTTCAGAGCAGAAAATCCAATATTCTGAAAGCTATAATAAATAATCTGATGGGTGTTTTGAGCTGACACTTTACAGTACTTTCTGGAGACACAAAATACTTATCTTAAATTTTGAAAAAGGGGTAAAATAGGTGCCCTTTAATGCATTTAGTCAGTACTGTGTGCTGTCTTCTTTAAACAATATACTCCTCTGTATTAAGCCAATAAGGAAACGCTTCTACAGTAATCTACATCTGATCATTCTTTAATTCACCCCAGTTTGACTATAAAAGCTTTTCCCCTCTTTCTATACAGATCAAGTAACAATCTGATATTTTAAAAATCTTTTTATATATATATATGTCCCTGACTCTTTTTTTGTATTATTTAATTATTTATTTGGGCAGCATTGCGTCACAATATCTAATATCTTACCTGCTTTCTCTCAAGTAAACTGTTCAGATGTCACTCCACTCTTTTATTTGCCGCCGTTCCTATACTCTCCCGCTGTGCCTCCATCTCCCACTTTCACATACAGTACAGGAAGCAAACAGCCTTTGGGAAATCAATGCCATTGATTCTTAGTTTCTCTTGGAGCCGCGCTGCTGTCCCCAGCCTGTGCTCCTCGCCGGACTCAAATAAATGGCTTTCAAAGCAGCAGAATTCGGCAATTAGCTGGCTGATGGAACGAAGGGATAGCAAAAAGTCACACGATGAGCTGTGTATCTAAAGACTGCTTCCTTTTCGCCGTAATCACTGAGGTTTATTTCTGTCCTCTTTCCCTTCCAGCAGTTCTTGACAGTAAAGCAATAGACTCCAATCAGCCTATGAACGCTCTGATGCGCTTGAACCAGATCCGGCCGGGGCTGCAGTACAAACTGCTGTCTCAGTCAGGTCCGGTTCACGCCCCCGTCTTCACCATGTCCGTAGACGTCGACGGCACTGTTTACGAAGCCTCGGGATCCTCCAAGAAGACCGCCAAGTTGCACGTGGCAGTAAAGGTACATCTTGTGATCAGAGCAGTGAACATAACGGAAGGATTACTTCACTCAAAAATGTGTATTTTGTCATCTTTTACTTGCCTTTATGTTATTCTACAACCTCTGCTTGAAGAAAGTAATCAGTGTTCAAGCTATTCTCCTCCATGTAGTTAAAGTGGTTTATATTGCAAGTGTTTTAAAATCTGTAGATGTATACACTATACTGAATGGAAAAGAGCAGCTTGGACATTCTGCCTAATTTCTTCTTTTGTGTTCTACGCACCGAACACAGTCATATGAGCTTAGGTGAGTAAATGATGACAGAGCTTTTGCTGTATTTTAGAGTGAATTAATCCTTCACCAAATATTAATTTGAAGCCACAGTTCTGACGCAAGTAGTGTGGATTTAATTTTCTTACACTGTTGACCTGTTTTTTTCCTTCTTATTTTTTGTTCTGTCACATTAAATAAAAGGGATATATACATATATATATATATATATATATATATATATATATATATATATATATATATACTTTTATATCTTTTTACAATTTCAACTACAATAACGGCTGTTTGAGCTGTTCAGTTTTAGTTAACTGATTGATTTATCAGATAGCAAAGCATCTGTTTTTTTCTGTGTTTACAAAACATGGACAACATCATTAAAAAGGGTTAATAGTTAGATAATATATTCATAAAACTGTATTTAAAGACTTGATTCCTTTATTTAGAATGAACTACATTATGAAAAGTGGGTCAAATGATTTAAAGGGAGTTGTTTTATTTTATTTATATGTTTTTTGTAAGTAATTTATTTAAAGGTCTTGAACTCTGTAACACAATTCAAACAAATTATTATTATTATTATTATTATTATTATTTATTTTATCATCATAATCTTCATCATTATTATCATTATTATTATACTAAAATTATGTATTCATACAAGAAACATAATAGCAATAACAATTGTAAATAATACTATCAGTAATAATAATAATTTAAAATAGAAACTTTTTAAACAAACCTTTTGCAGTTTTTCATGTTTTGCGTTTTGCAATAATATTAGCAATTGTAATAAAAATTTTGTTTTTGAAACAACAACAATAATTGATAAAGTAATTGTAATAAAAGTAATATAATAATAATACAACATATTAATATTTAATGTTTATTCATTAATATTAATATTTGTCAAAACAAAAGTAGTATCATAATGTTTTACTTAAAATCAAGTTTATGAAGCATCAATAGAAATAATAATAGTAACAATAATAATAATAATGTAAAATATTACTTGTGTAGTATTTCATGTTTATTATTTAATATTTTTAAATGTAATATAAATACTGTAATAGTATTTCTCATAAAATCATATTTTTTGAATAAAAAAATAAATAATAATAATTCATTAATTTTATTTTGGGCTTAGTCTCTTTATGAATCTGGGGTCGCCAAAGCAGAATGAACCGCCAACTTATCCAGCACATGTTTTATGCCGCGGATGCCCTTCCAGCCGCAACCCATCACTGAGAAACATCCATACACACTCATTCACTCACATACACCACAGACAACTTTAACCTACCCAAATCAACTATGGAGCATGTCTTTGGACTGTAAGAGAAACCGGAACACCCAGAGGAAACCCACATCAACACAAGGAGAACATGCAAACTCTACAAAGAAATGCCAACTGACCCAGCCGAAGAACGAACTGTGCTAATCACTGCGCAACTGTGATGTCCTGATAATAATAATAATAATTATTATTATTACTAGTAGAAGTAGTAGAAGTAGTAGTAGTAGTAGTAGTAGGAGTAGTAGTAGTAGTAGCAGCAGCAGTAGTAGTAATTACTTCTACTACTACTACTACTACTACATCTTAATAACTGAAGAAGGCATACATAAGTTTTTTCTAGCAAGCCATTTTCAAGAGCATTCTGTTGAACTAGTACTGAACGTCTGTTGAGCTCTTGTTAAATGTTAAGCTTTATACTCAATCCTGGTTAAATCCATCATTTAGCATTATACATGTGCTTTTCTGAAATAGATTTGTAGATGGTTAATGTAACAGGACTGTATAGAAGATTACAGTGGGTTGCTTTCTTTAGGAAAACCGGTTCTTTCACACAGACACACACACACACAGACACACACACGCAGGATGCAAAAGGGCTCAAATGTATGTAATCCCAGAGTGCATGTGAACAAAGGCTGTGGAGTGTAGGACCGCACTAATCCTCTTTCTGTGAAAGCACAGACATTAACGCCACCAACAGCCCCAATCTGGGTCAGACTGACAAATGAACACTGGCGCTCTTATGATATCCTTTCCCCCTGTGTAAAACCACACTAAATCTGAGACACGGTATGCAGATATATGAGCCTCTGATGGCAAAGCAGTGCAGTTAAACTGAAAGTAGAGCCGCGTTACCAGAGACATACAGTACAGTATAGTGCTCGTTTAATTCAACTTGTTTATTGAGATGTAATATAGACTCAAAAAAATTAAGTTTGCCTAAGAAAGAGCCAAAGCAAACACTACCAAATTACTATGGTATATACAAAATAGCACTACAAAATACAATGTCACTTACCTGTTATGTAATGATTTGTTTAGTTGTAGTTTGTAATATATGTTAATAAAATGCTGTTTTTCTCCCATAGTAACTTATTTTGCGGTCTCTGTCGCCATCCTACGGCGAAATCAATCGTCTTTGATCTGCTCAGTATGACAGGCCGACTCGCTGAATCTCAGATATTATAAATATTTAAAATAGACCTTATCCTTATAAATAAACTGCATAGTTGCCATCTAAACAACTACATTCGCGCCTAAAAAGCCTCAATACATTATGTTGTCCAACAGCAGCAATATTTGTCAAACTGTTGTGAGTTTATTGATCTGCTGTCACTCTTATGTGGGCGGAGTAATAAAGAAGGGTTAAGAGGTTGTAGAAGAGCTAATATTACCTTAATATTTTACGGCCAATTGAGTTCAAGAACCAGACAGAACTGTTGTGTATATATATATATATATATATATATATATATATATATATATATATATATATATATATATATATATATATATATATATATAAATTAAAGCTGCACGATTCTGGCTAAAATGAGAATCACGATTTTTTTTGCCTAAAATAAAGATCATGATTTTCTCACGACCGCCCTCTCTGTGGTAACAGCTGACGGTCACGTCTACTCCGACCAATCAGAACATTCATATGCATTCACATCTGTGCTGTTTATAAATATAAACACATTTGAATCCTTCTCCAGACATGTTTAGTTGCTGCCTGTTAGTCAGATAACGTTTCTATGTTCATTCTTAGTTTTAGCTGTTAAAAACTATTGTTAAATAGTTCATGATAAACTGGTGTGAGTTTACTTGCGCACACTGCGTTCAGCTACGTGACTCGTCTGCACATGAAATGAAGGAGTGCTCCGGGCAGCGCTAATACACGCATTCACATCTCAACATGCTGAAGTATTCATTGATATGTTTAATTTGGGGCATCACGGTGGCACAGTGAGAAGCAGTATTGCGATAAATTGGGGCTTCATTCTGCTGTGACGACCCCAGATTAATAAAGGGACTAAACCGAAAAGAAAATTATTAAATTAAATTAAATTAAATTAAATTAAATTAAATTAAATTAAATTAAATTAAATTAAATTAAATTAAATTAAATTAAATTAAATTAAATTAAATTAAATTAAATTAGGGGCATCGCGGTGGTGCATTAAGTAGCATGATTGCGATAATTTAGGGGTTTATTTCGCTGTGGCGACCCCTGATTAATAAAGGGACTAAGCCGAAAAGGAAATTATTTAATTTAACTTAATTTTAATTTCTAGATGTTTAGAGCTCATTTCTGGTTAATGATATCAGAATTTATCGGTATTTTGGAATGGTTGTGTGAATGGTCTTTTCTGGAAAAATGTTGTATTGTCCTAGCCTGTGTGAACAGCATTTTTTATTAATTTTTTTTATTTACCAGTTCTGCCGTTCCAGATATTTTCAAGATATTAACCGGTATCACTGTGTGAAAGGGGCTAATGATATGTAGTTTATATTTATTTTTGACAAAACTATCAATGTTTTAACTTCATAAGAGTTAAAAGAAAAACTGTATTTGTTAGAATAGGCCTGTCTTTCAATTACATCTAAAAACATTCAATATTTTGACTTATTAATTTTTGAGCAAAATGTTAATATTTGTTCGTAACTCGTAAGAAAAGTTATTAGATATTTATAAATTAAAACATCTATGTTACTCAAACCATTGCCTCCTAAATCCAGTAAAGCAGCAGTGTTTTCAACTGGTCACTATAATTATTTTAATGGCTGATAGCAGATATTTGTTCATATATGTGTTAGTGTATTTTATGTAAATATCTTCAGATATTCATGATGTTATTTGGTGAAACATTCAGTCTTATTTACACTGATCTGCTTTGTGGCTGTTATGTAGGCATTTTTCTGTCAACATTTATATAAGCACAGTCTTATCAAAGCAAAGATTTCACTCTCAATAATGACCTCGGGATCCAAGAAACTGTCCACGTTTGATTTTGCCTAGCCACAGAGATGAGCCGAACAGTCCCAGCATGTTTCATCATTTTATAATACCAAAACTTGTTGAAGTCTACAGTTTAAAACTTTACTTTTTGGCTCATATTCGAAAGTGAAATCCTCGTTAAAATAAAGGAAGATGTGATATGGCCAATAATAGGGTTTGCTCAACAAAAATTGTTACAGTGCCATCATTTATTCATACTTGCGTTGCTTCAAAACTGCCAGCGTGTTACAGCATAAAAGTAGTTTGCAACAGTCTTGTGGTATTATGTAACAGCCCGGTTTTATGTAAAGGAAACAGTTAAATTTTGCTACATATTAACTTGTGTGCTTTTAAATATTTGGTGCTGCATCATTTAATTTAGGAGAAATGCTACTATATGCACTGTATAAAAAATACATGTTAAGGCTCTTAGGATTGACTGAATTGTCTTTGTAAGTTTTTTTTTTACTTGAAAGACTTCAGTTGTTTAGGTTTACACTGCCTGACAAAAGTCTTGTCGTCGATCCCAATTAGAGTAACGAATAATAACTTGACTTTTAGTTGATCATTTGAAAAAGTGTCAGAAGGTAAATTTTTCAGATGAAGAACTGCATCTCAATCATCACAAATACTGCAGAAGACCTATTGGAACCTGCATCGACCCAAGATTCTCACTGAAATCAGTCACATTTGGTGAAGGAAAAATCATGGTTTGGGGTTACGCTCAGTATGGGGGTGTGCGAGAGATCTGCAGAGTGGATGGCAACATCAACAGCCTGAGGTATCAAGACATTTGTGCTGCCTATTACATTACAAACTACAGGAGAAGGGCAAATTCTTCAGCAGGATAGGGCTTCTTCTCATACTTCAGCCCCCACATCAGTTCCTGAAAGCAAAGAAGGTCAAGGTGCTCTGGGATTGGCCAGCCCAATCACCAGATATGAACATTATTGAGCATGTCTGAGGAAAGATGAAGAAGAAGGCTTTGAAGATGAATCCAAAGAATCTTGACACTGGGAGTCCTGCAAGAACACTTTTTTTTGCCATTCCAGATGACTTTATTAATAAGTTATTTGAGTCATTGCAAAGAGGTATAGAGGCAGTCATCTATGCTCATAGGAGTCATACACAATAATAATCCTTTTTTTCACTGCACAGTGACTTTAAATTCTACACTGTACATTATTTTTGTTAAGTGACAAGACTTTTGTCTGAGCAAAGTCAGACCTTACTGTCCTAATTAAATAATTAAAAATCAAGACATGATCAATATTTTATTTTGGTAAAACAAGCAAAATCTAGAGGCCTTTGCCTTTCATATAAGCCTCTTCTGATACTAAATGATTAACTAGAAGTCAAGTTATTATTAGTTGTTCCTAAAACTTGGATAGGCGAAAAAAAACTTTTGTTAGTGTATTAAATTCTGTGTATAATATGATGTATATGAATTTTAAGAGAGAACATTGTGTGAATAAATTACTTTTTGTAAGCAGCTAAGTTCAAGCAGTTCAAATACAGTTAAATGAATTTTGTTGTATTTATCTTTTCCATATTTGTAAATTAATTATGTTTTGTATCCTGATGTAAATCACAATTCAAAATGGGTAATTTGTTTATAAGCAATGCTAAAGATTATATTATATATACACACAAAATATTCAAAAAAATCAAATATTTAATAATGTTAATGTCAAATCTGTTTGGATTGTTTTATAAAATAGGTATTTCATCACACACACACACACACACACACACACACGTGTGTGTGTGTGTGTGTGTGTGTGTGTGTGTGTGTGTGTGTGTGTGTGTGTGTGTGTGTGTGTGTGTGTGTGTGTGTGTGTGTGTAACTTGATCAAAACTAAACATTGTTCTGCTATTTTACTGCCACTCAACTGTTTCCTCAGAGTATGCATACAGTGTAAATTGCATTTATTATAAATGTGAAGCCAAAAAAATCATTTAAAGTGAAACTAGTGGCCTGTGCTTATTACCCTATTGAGAGTTTTTACTTGCATCAGGATTTGATCGGTAATAACAAGCCATCATGGAGATACACTAATGTAAACAGCAGCATTGTATTGCACAGTAATCTATGACTGAATACAATGATCGACTTAATTTTGCTTTGCAAACCACTAAAATCAAAACAATGCTAAATCATACAGAGAAGGACTTAGTAAGCAGGAAAAGGTGAAATAATTTGACAAGCTGACGTTAATAAACTATTCTGCTTCGTTTTTTACACATTTTGCAGTCCTATTAGTCTAAATGTTTAACAAAAACATTTTGGTCCCATCGAATTACACAGACCAAAACATAAAATTAATTGACCACTTTTAGCTGCAGTAATCAGCTAAGCGTGCAAGTTTACTTGGTTTCAATGCTATTGTTCTCTGCTTTCCATCATGGCTGACTGATGACAAGTCGTGAAAATACACATCGTAAAAATACTACAGTAGTTCTATATAAATACTCATGTCGCTAATACACACGTGTCACTTTTGTGCATATAATGTAAGATGCATCACATTTCATATACAAAAAAGTGTGACTCTAAATCTAACTCTCTGTCATGTCCTGTGGAATCCATACTGGATGTGTTGTGTGATGCTGTTTTTGTGGCCATGTGGTGCAGGTGCTGCAGGCGATGGGTTACCCTACTGGCTTCGACACAGACCTGGACTCCATGAGTGCAGATGAGAAGTCAGATGGCGAGGGAAAGAGTGAATCCTCCACACACTCAAGCAATAACACAACACACTCCTCAGACAGCTCCAACACATTGGAGGTACAAGCCATACCAACGATGTTTATTTTATTTATAACATCTCTATCTTTCGGCTTCAAGTCAGTTCAGTGTTGATAGTTTAGTTAATCCTAAAAGTAATCCTTTAAGTTTTAATGTGTGGAGTTCTGTTTCTGGGTCCAAGCTTCTGCTCACTTGATTTGACAGACAAGTATGTAGAATGTGGATGAACAGTAAGTTTATGGATGGCAACGTATTCACTGACAGTCATCATAATTCACAGTATGAAGTTGAGACTGTTCTCTTCAGCAGTTGTTATCATGGAATAACATGCCATGAAATGTCATGAATGACCAATCAGAATGAAGTATAAAAGACAGCCATGTAATAAGTAAAGGATAAAGTACATTCTGACGGTTTGCTTGTGGAGGGCCATCACAGAGGGCTGTGTGTAAGACTGAAGGGCTTTTGTTCCATTAAAACAATTGCCTTAATGTACTTTATTTCATGGCTACTTGCCACAAAACATTCAAATTAGTCAAAACATTATTCTGAGATGTAATGGTTTATTAATTTATTTTATTTAATTTAAGTTTTTTTATTTAATAAAATGCAAAGCTGACAGAAAAAAAAAAACGGCTGAATATAGCATACACTAACCTAGGTATTTTTCAGTCACAAGTTGATGCCTAACTGTCAAATACAGCAGCACAACAGACAAGCATATAAATATGAATGTGAATGTATTCATTAGCTATGTTTCAATTTACTTATTTTTATGCAAATTTTGAAAATGCGCATAAAAAACGTATGCGCATAATTGAGTAGGATAAACGTTTTATTCGATGAGATATGCATAAACTACAATGAAAACACTTTTACCGCACAAATTTCAGTATGCACATTAAAATAGGTCGATTGATTGTGTGATAAGACATCATGTGATGATAAAAATGTGCATAAATGGACAAATCAGCTGGCTGAGCACAATGTAAACCATCTGACCTTTTAATAATAAAACGGTAACACGTTTCGTAAAACGACGAAGGATGAAATTAGTTGTGTTTGAAAAAAAAAAACCTCCAAGATTATTAGTTATGTGTATGTCTGTTTAAACACGTGCCCAAAAACCAGACTTTTGCTCTGCTTTAAATCACAATACAGAATGCGTTTGGAAAACAGTGTCTATTTATCACTATGGAGCGCGTCAGCTGACAGTCACATTACGCTTTATGACTGTTTTGAGGATTGCATATGAAGGGGAGACGGCACCTGTAATGAAAAGAAAGAGAATCCTGACGTTTTTATTTCAAAGTGTTTTCGTGTCTAAACAAAGCGAAAGCACAGAACAGACTTACATTTAAGAACAAGGGCCGTCAGCAGGTCTGTTGTAGTGCAAGTTTAGACAAACTAATTAAAAACCGCTCTCAAAAAACTCCCAGATATCAAGCACAGAGCACAATGGAAATATAAAAGCTGGAGTCAGGAAATGAAAATTGTTGCGCACCTTCTGAATGTAACTCTTGCATCGCATTGGGGATATCAGAATTCTGTGAATTGAATTATTCATTTGTGTCCAATAGATTACTAACATGTTTGACATTGAAGAAAAGCCTCTACTGACTTTTTTTATTGAACATGCATGGAATTGAATATTTATTTTTTACTTTTGACCTAATTTTTGCCTTTGAACCTAGAAACTGTGAGACTTGCGTGAATAGCATACTACATGAAATTATATGCAGCTCTACAAAACACAATAGTGTTATTCAACTCATGTCAGTGCAATGTTGATTCAGTTCAGTTTTATAGCATGTTCTTTATCCAGGTACGAACTCAGGGTCCTATTTTGACGGCCAGCGGGAAGAACCCAGTCATGGAGCTGAATGAGAAGCGGCGCGGCCTGAAATACGAGCTCATCTCAGAGAGTGGAGGAAGTCACGACAAACGCTTCGTCATGGAGGTTGGCCTCACTAGACACAAATATACTTTCCTGTTCAACAATAAGATATTGTTCATTACTTATGTTTCCTAAGGCAAGCATTATAGCTATTACTCGCACTAGGGTTTGAAAAAATATATTACCCAAATATTAATCTTTGTTGTGCAACATATTTCGCACTGTTCTGCCTTGGATTGAATTGTGCCATGTTTAAGAAAATCAAACTTTGTATGCAATATAAATAATGTCCTGTTCAAAAGTCTCATTTCATTCTCTCATTGGCAGGTGGAAGTGGATGGACAGAAGTTTCGCGGTGCAGGGCCCAATAAGAAAGTAGCCAAAGCCAGCGCTGCCCTTGCAGCTCTAGAGAAACTCTTCTCCGGGCCGAATGCTGCTGGCAACAAGAAGAAGAAAATAATCCCTCAGGTAAAACTTTGCTTGCTTTCATTTGTGACCAGTAGCATTCAGATAGTTTTCGATGTTTAGCGTGTCCCTCAAATGACCTGGGTCACCATCTGTAAGTCATGACCACTCTGTTGGATATTCTGTAATCAATATTTCTCAGATGAGACTGAGACTTGGGCCAATGCTCATTAAAGCCTGTGGGGTTATTACTCTCTGTGTGTATATGTGTGTGTGTTTTGTAGAGTAAAGGGGCATTAGCTGCAGCCGCTGCTGTGTCTGCTGTTGCGGTTCAGGCTGCACGAGGCCGAGGAAGACCAACTCTCACACGAGGAGCCTTCGTCAGTGCTGCAGCAGCACCAGGATACGTCACGCCAGGTGTGTGTTTGATGCCAATCTGTGTTTATGTAGTGAATTAAAACCTGCCACAAAAGTTCCAACTTAGCTTTACTTTTGGTCAGAATTTTGAGATAAATGTATTTATCATTTTTAATTGTTCATTCAAATTATAAAGTATTTATTTTATTGTATCACATTGATTTTTTTACGTTTAATTATTAAGTTAATGTTTTTTGGCATGAAAAAGAGATTACCGCTTATTAGTTTTACTGATATTTTCTTCAGATAAGTATTTAAATTTTAGTCAGATATTGCTTTTGTAATATTTGATTCACTGATAGTTAAAAGAGCTTTCACACTAGCACTTTTGGTCCGCACCCAGGTTTGTTTGACATTAGAGTTTGGTACGATTAGCTAGTGTGGACGATGTCTTCTGAACTCGGATGTGCACCCACGGACTGTACCAGAGTCCGCCTGAAAGAGGTGGACTGGGGTACGATTCGTGGGAACTCTGGTATACTCGGGTCACTTCTGATATGAATGCAATCAAACCAAATAACGGAAATAAACCGCCCCTGTACAACAAACATTAGTTTACATAACGTTCATTCGTGTGTGTGTGTATCACCTACCTTGGCGACAAACAGTACTAACCAAGTGCAAACTAGGCATAGGACGATAACCATTTTCAAGGGATACCGCAGTTTAGAAATCAATATTTTCTGTTTTCTGCAATATCGTTCCTAAGGTTTGTGTAAGATTTTTTATTTACTTTTTTATTTAATTATTTTTTTTAGGACAACAGTATCTCCAGCAGAAAAAATATCCAATCATGCCGTTTTAATTTGTGAAGAAATCTGTGTTTTTGAAACTAATGAAGACAGCAGAAGTCAATGATTCATTTGAATTATTTAGATTACTGCTCCAAAATATTATAAATCTTTGAAAAATTGTTTTCAAGGGGGAAAAAACTTTTAGTTGTTTACCCAGACATCTAAAAAGAATATATTTTAGAGCAGTAATCACAATACCGTGACACCGTGATATTTTTATCCAAGGTTATCATACCATCAGAATCTTTTACCGGCCAATGCCTAGTGCAAACACAGTGACAATTTCTGCTTGTCTCCTCTTAAAAAGGCTTCTGCAGACATTGTTGTTCTGAATGTTTTTTAATGTATCTGTGATAGACACAAGTGGCTCTCTATTTTAGCTTTGGTAACAAAACCAAAAGATTCAGTAAAAGCAGAATGACCGGGATGTGCATACGTCTTTCCATTTTGTTGCTTTGGCTTGCGTGGCCGTCACCTTACAACAGCTATACACACAACAGCAGCTCGATGATGCAAACGTACCAGAGTTCAGAGGGAAAAAGCACAACCAGTTTGTGATCACAAACCAGTCGAGAAAATGGCAAGGGGGGCAATCGACCTTGTGTTCGGACCAGGCAATTCCGAAAAGTGTGAAAGCACCCTAAATGTAGCTTTGTCATGACAGAATTAAATCAAGTTTTAAGAAAAAATAACAATTTTTAATGCTTGTTGTTATTATTTTTATTACTATTATTTTTATTCTAAAAATATTTTTTACATTTTAATATATATTATCAATGTAACCTTGGTGACCGTAAGATATTGAAATCGCATACAATGTTACATCACATACAAACATGAAAAAAACCCTGTTCTGCTATTATGTAAATAGTGAAACTAAAGTTTGTACTTTTTTGTTACAGAAATTAAACACAGAAAAAACCTGAGTACTTTTAATGTTGCTAATTTAATCAACGTTGGTAATAATATATTGAGTAACTTTACATTTATATACAGAAATGTTTACATCCTGAGCATTTTTTTACTTATTTTTAATCTTATGTAATTCTATTTTTTCATCTTGATTATTTATCTAAACATTTTCTTTTATACTGTATTTATCAAAATGTATTGTTAAATTCAACTCATTAGCCTTTAGTTTAAATCAGAACTTCATCCCTTGTTTTTCATGAAAAGTATTTATTCAACATTGTTTTTCGCTCGTCTGAGTAAATGTAGTTAATATCAATATCAAAATCAATATATACAGTAGAATAAAGGTTCTTTCACGTGACTCACGTAGGATTGAATCCCTCGCACGAATTAAATGAAGGAGTCTTAACTCTTGCACTTCACCGTTCTCACAGGCTTCGGAGCCCCATACGGGTACAGCGCAGCGGCCGCCACTCCTGCATACGGTACGTACCCCTTCCTTCCCCTCCTCCCTAACTCCGGTCAGGGTCTAGGGTCCAAATCTGCCCCCACTTACTCCCCCATTCAGCTCTCTAATTGGGCTTTCAGACCCCAAAATCACGTCCACAAAGACTCCCGTAGAGAAACGACTCCCTGGACGATGGAACCGAACCATAACCTTTTGGTTCTTAACTGTGGTTGGAGCAAGACTTGCTGCACCTGGCCTGAGTGTGACTTTGCTCGTCTAGTCTGCCTGCTCGACGCTTGGCCCATTTCTCCTGACTCTGGGCGCCTCTGTAAGCGTCAGCATTGTGGTGCTGCTGTCTACAGCGCACAGTTACATCATTCAAAGCAGCCGCTGGGCTTGGTGGAGGGAGAGGAGAGAACAGGATACTGTATGGGATAGTTGAACAACAAAGGAAAATTCTGTCATCATTTACTTTCATGTCCTTTTCAAACATGCATGGCTATGTTTTCTCTGTGGAACATGAAAGAAGATATCTACCATGCAATAAAGTTCAATGGGCTCCAAAAATCATTCATTGACCTTTATTGTTGGGACAAAATGCATTAGGGTTTTTTTTTTCTCAAGATATTTTCCGTCGTGTTTCATAGTCATAAAGGTTTGCAAAGACTTGATGCGGATTAAATGATGACAGAATTTTAGTTTTACTGTTTGACCAGTACATTTTATGTTACAAATGTTAAAAAACTTTTTGCAAAAGACTTCATCAAAATGACCTCCGTTCACACAGATACGCAAACATGACTAAAAACATTGTATTATTCACATTAGGCTAGTAGTTATGTAGTGCACAATTTTTGTGCTCTCACATTTGCTGATTACACATATGCTCAGGATGTCGCAGTTTTCACAAAATAGTGTTTTTGTAATTTACGTTGAGTCAAGAACTATCATTTAAAAAATATTCACATACTAATAAAAATATAGTTAAACAGACACAATGTAATGTACTAAAGTTAACAAAAATACTAAAAACAAAGCTTTATTACACTTGGAAGTTTTGATGCTTCAGAACCCCCTTTTCATCTATGACCCAAATGCTTTATAATTCCTATTAAGTTTGAATAATTATATTTAAATATGACCCTTGACCACATAATTAGTCATAAGTGTCATTTGGAATCTGAAATATATCCATTATTAGATAGCTGAATAAATGTATAGTTTGTTAGGGCAGGACAATATTTAGCCAAGATGCAACTATATAAAAATCTGGAATCAAAAAGTAAAGGTGACAAAAATCACCTTTAAAGTTTCCAAATGAACTTAATATATAACTATAGCAATAACTATCATTTAAAAAATCTTAGCACTTTGAAACTTATTGCTTGTCCAAGTCCCCAAAAATGCTATTGTTGCAAAAAACGGCCACAATAAATAAAAGGCTTTCTCTTTTTATTGCCGTCTAAACCAAATTCAACTGTTCAACTTTGCAGTCTGTCCATTTATAGGCCCATTCACATGAAGAGTGATCGTTACATTAGCTGTTGCCTCAGATTTGTGCTGATTCTTCAAGCAATATTATTACTTTGTCATTTAGCATCATTAGAGTTAGAATGTTTTTTTTTTCTTAATCCATGCTTCAATAACTTAATTGATAGTAAATCCTATAAGCAATTTGCAAACAGTTCAGAGGACATACCGTAAATCACATAAATCTACCTGCTAATGTTACAACCACAGTGATTATGCTGGTATACACAGTAGAGTATAATCGCCCAAACTTTCCCACAAAGCTCTGACAGAGCAGTGAGAACACTGCAGTGATGCCATGGGATAAAGTGTCCATCAGATCTGCTTTTTTTAATTATATGAAGCATCTTCCACAGATGCAGATTTATATGCAACTTCTGACATGTACAGTAGCTCATTTCACATACTAATAAGAAAATACAATTAAACAGGCACAATAAAACATATTAAAGTTAACAAAAAGCTAAAGTCAAAGCTTTATTACACAGTTTTGATGCTTCAGAACCCTCTTTTCATCTTTGACCCAAATGCATTATAATTTGTATTTATTTTAAATAATCATATTTAAATATATGACCGTGGAACACAAAACTAATCATAAGTGTCAATTTTTGGAATCTGAAATGTATGCATTATTAGAAATCTGAATAAATAAGCTTACCATTGATGTATAGTTTGTTAAGACAGGACCATTTTTTGCCAAGATGCAGAAAATCTGGAATGGCATTATTTTTACTTCCTAATCCATGCTTCAATTACTTGATTAATAGTAAATCCTATCATTCAATCCTATAATTGTTACATGATTAATTGGGTAAAAACACTTCAGTCACATAAATCAACCAGCTAATTTCACAACCCCAGTTATAAGTTTTATATCTACTGTTCAGTTATATTTCTATATCTATATTTTATATCTACTGTTCAGTATTATTTCACATACTAATAAAATATACAATTAAACAGGCACAATATAATGCACTAAAGTAAATAACAACAACAAGAAATTAAAGCTTTATCACACGTGTATAACAGTTTTGATGCTTCAGAATCCCAAATGCTTTATAATTTGTATTAATTTTGGATAATTATATTTAAATGTGACCCTGGACCACAAAACTAGTGATAAGTGTCATTTTTGGGAAGCTGAAATGTATGGATCAGAAAGATGAATAGATAAGCTTACCATTGATGCATATACTTTACTTTACAGGACAATCTTCACTGTAAAAACCAGCCTGATCTCACAAGGAAACAACAATTTTAAGTTTTTACCAGTTTAGCGGAAAACCTAACTGTCATTTGGAGGATGAGCAAATAATACTAAATTGTATGAATAAGATCATAGGATTTCAAATGAATTAGCGACTAAATCAAAAAATTACGAATTGCCGTGTGATAGCGTTGGTAAAAATTCATTCATTTTGTCAGACACATATCGATTAACTTACAAATTTAGGTCTATTTAACATAAAACAATTAAGTTGTCCTCAGAAAATCTCCAGAATTATATTTTCAGCTCATCATAAATAAGTAGTTTGAATAAGCAGTAAAATATATTTTTTTGAGTATTTAACCAACATACAAAAAAAAAATAAAAAATCTGGAATCTGAAGGTTCAAACAAATCAAAATACTGAGAAATTTGCCTTTAACATGTCCAAATTAAATTCTATTTATTCTATTTATGGTAGAAAATGGGGTATATATGGTGTATATTAGCAAAATGTAAAATTAACTTAATATACTAATGATTTTTGGCATAAAAGAAAACTCCCAAACAATGTATGCTTGGTTAATGCGCAAAAATATACGGTTTTAATTTAAAAGCCACTTTTCCAATGTAAGCGGCAAGCGACAGACTGGAAGTCAACCATTGTCAATGGAGATTAATCGGGTAGTTCTGATCATCTCCATATGCGGAAAATTTGGATCCGATATTTGAACTCCTGCGACTAGACCGTATGCAGATCCGGTCGACCGGATCTGATGTATTTCAGTATTGTCCAAGTAAGTCTGTGCGTGCGAGATGAAAAATACTATTTTTCATTATTTTTGAATTCGAAAAAAGTCTATATTAAAAAAAAGCAATAAAAAATTCTCTTCACATAACCTCCAACATTTTTAGCGGTCTATGAGTTTCCATTATTGCATTAATTCCATCATGGTGAACCAACGGAGAATAAAGACTCTTGCTTTTGTACTCCTTTATTTCGGACACTACGAGAACAGCTTCTCTCCCATGATGCACGTCAGAACTAAAAATTCGGTGCAGCATTTTCCGACAGTCGTGTCCAAATGTTGTGTGCAGTGGAAAGGCAGCTTAAGACTGGTTTTGCGGTTCAGGTTAATTCATTTTATATGAATTATTTTATACTTTAGTTTTTTCAGTTTTAAAGACTTTTCTAGTCAGTTTGTGTGTCATCTTTTTTCAGCTAGTTGTTTGGTTCATGGTGGATGACAATTTTAACAAAGACTTCAAATACTTCCAAAACTAGCGCTTCTTATAAAAATACATAATACACGCTGCCTTGAATAACCACTGAATTTTTAATTCATTACACTCCACCAAAACACACGTTATACATACTTAAACACAAAAAGGCAAATACGATCTGTCGGTTTTACAAACAAATAAGTCCCACAGTTCGTCTCTCTCTCGGTAGCTCCTCTCCTGTCTCAGGCCTAGATGAAGATGCTTTGAATGAACCTTATGTGCAGGGGGGACTAGGTGAGGTGGAGGGCTGAATTGGGAGGGTCTGCTGTGTTTATCTGTGGGCCGGGTGGAGGGTTTGGATATGAAGTTGCTCCCAGCGCCCTGGTCTCTGCCTGCCACATAAAGACCGTTCCTTTAGGTGGAAGGTGAAACCCAGCATTGTGCTGTAAGAGAACAGTGCGCCCCCTCTCTCTCTCTCTCTTTGACGTCTCTCTGGTTTTGGTGCATGCAGAAAATCTCACCAGTCATCTTACGCTGTCCAACCCTCTTCCTCCTGTTGCTGCTTTGGGATTTCTAAATGGGAGCGACTGTGAGACTACGACTACAGTCCTGCTCACACACACACACGCACATATGCAGCAAACACACACACACACCCACACGGCACAGAATGAACACTCCACATAAGAGCGCCAGCCCGCAGATCACTCCTGTAACCCTCCATGTTGCCCCCCTTACCTACAATTCAGTGTGGTTCAGATGCATTATTAATTCAGTTAGATAGTTCTGTCTAGTGGTTAAGACTAAGGCTGGTGTGATATATTAATCTGATATCGTTTATTGATATTAAGTTGAGTTAAATAATACCAGCACATGGATATCTCAATGATTGTGTAATGTGCTAGTAAACTAGCTTGCTACATGTATTTAATATCTATCAAATCTAGCTTAAATCTAAAATGAAGCCTATTTTAGGATTTATTTTGTGTAAAAACATAAATAAATATAGAACAAAAAATATATATAATATTATATGTATATAACTATGTATACAGTTGAAGTCAGAATTAT